CATATACCATAGAATGAGCCCACATTTGTGTTCTCTGAGCGAATTTTTGAAATTTATTAATTATACTCAATGTTCTACGAAGTAAAGACGATACTTTTTGACATACAAAATTAAAATTAATAAAGCTTTTGCAATTGTTCGTATGTGCACAAGCGACTTAAAATATATTTAAAAAATAATACATTTGCTCTGTTTTGTAAAATCTTAATTTTTTACATGATCTCTCGATAAAATTTATGCTAGTGTATGAACTTCCATGAGCGGTAGTGTGCATGCAGAAAAATATCATTCGAGTGCTAAGAGAGGACGTAATTTTTATTCTTCTTTAGAGTAACGTTCATCTTTATAAAAAAATTTTTTTGATAATATAATTTTAAAATACACTTATTATTTACTGGAAACAAATAATATTTATGTAACATTTTTCTGTATATATATACATGTATATGTGCACGCTTTAGAACGAACTAAACCGAGTTTTCGAAGAGTTCTTGATCATTTCCCAATTTTCAATATAATCGAGATATTATTTCTACAGCGCCAAATATCCGCCATCGATATTTAGGCGCGCGAGGAGCGGGAACTGCTACCAAACCTCTTGACTCGAACGGCACGTCTAGGCTGCGTTCAGAAACGTCACCTTGCGGGTGATTGCTAGGAGGCTGGGTGAGTGAAATGGTAGGGATAAGGTACCCTCTCTAGTGTGTACATTTCTGAACGGCCCTAGGTGAGTGAAATGGTAGGAAAATGGCGCAGCGTAAAAAACGTATTCTAGCTCTTGCAATTGCTGCAAGTGATAAATTATTGAGAGACATCATGCTGAATATGGATAGTGAAGAAAGTGATGAAAGTGACAATGACGAAGAAATTTTTCCGAATATCTTTGAATTTATTTTCACATTGAGTGCCTGTATAAAGCCAATTGGAATTTGAATCCTGTAATTCTTTAGCTATCTGTCGCCACACTACATCATTACGAATTTTGGGACTTTTAAATAGTGACTGATTTGTTTTCCACAAATGAATTAGCTTTTTTACAGCGTAGTCATCTTTCCAAGACGCAGCTGAAATAATAATAGGGAAAAATCAATGAAAAACTTAACATTAAAAAACGCGGTGATTATTATTACTATTTTTATTAGTAATATCCTTTTACACCGAGCACTTGATACACTTACGAACTAATAAGTTTCTATTAAATAATCTTAATTTCGGCATATATTTAAAGAATGGTAAACAAAAATGTTCTAAGTTGATACAACATGTGTCAAGATGATTAAATTAAATCATGTATACACGTCATTAACACACATCGCCGAAATTAAGATAATTTAATAGAAAGTAGTTAGTAAGCGTATCAAGTACTCAGTGTAAACAAGATCATAGCATACCTTGAGAATTTTCAAGTGTATCCCCTTTTTTACAAACATTGGAAGCAACATTACTTGTTGATGCTGCAATAACACAACATTAAAGAAATGTAGAGATGATAAAGAAAAAATACAAAATTTGCATCACAAAACAAACCTGTTGTACATAGATTATTGTCTTTTACACATTCGTTATTAGTTTTCGTAAGTTGCAATTCTGTTAAACTTTTAATAGTAGGTATAGTAACAATGTTCTGATCTAAAAAAAATTATGAATATTTAATCAAACATAAATATGTATTCATTGAAACATATAAGCCATGTATCGATAGTGGCCCATATTTTTTGCAAATGAATATAGAAATAGAAAACACAAGAGATGATAGATAACTTCAATGACCTAGTGTACATCAAGCACTTGATATTGTACTAGCTAGTAAACTTTCTATTATATTATCTTAATTTCAGCGATACATGTAAACATATACATGATATGACTAATTTAATTAATCATTTTGATACATATTGTACGGGAGTAGTACACCATTCTTTATGCATTGCCGAAATCAAGATAATTTAATAGACATTTACTACTTAATACGCGTATCAAGTGTTCCTGTAAACAAGGTCAATAACCCATAATATTAGATGTTTTGTGCAAATAAATGCAATCAAGTTAGACATTATATTCAATTAATTATAATTACGTTTAAAGATAAATATTTTGCAAACAAATTGATTTACCAAAGAACACTATACAGTTATTACACTTTAACGGGACTTCATTCGCAACATGAAAAAACCTTTATTGTACTTCATCGTAAATTATAATCGATTGAAGTAAAATATATTTTACTTACTTTCGGGATTCCATAATATAATCTGATTTTCTTTATTAAATGAATATGCAATAAATTTTTATTTGTAGCCATGTTTCCTAGCTTTGACCGCGTTCAGCAGACACAACAGTTTTGCAACCGTTTTGTGATTCTTCGCTGCTTTAAATCTAAAAGTATAATCCAATCAGCGCAACGAATCATAAAACGGTTGCAAAACTGTGGGTTTGCTGAACGCAGCCTTTATGTGGCCACTCGATCGAGAGACTTTCCACCCTACAAAAGAGCAGGGTGCAAAAGTCTCCCGATCGGGAGCACCCGGCATGTTTCTGAACGGGCCACCTAGGTAACGCTGAGGTATTCTCAACTGGTTTCTGAACGGCATTCGGGAGCTTGGATGCTCCCGAGTGTGGTATCTGAACGCAGCTCTAGCAGGCCACCCCCACTCCCAGCAGCCCGCGCGCCGTGCCATCGGTGGGGGCGGTAGGTTGTATATTCAGCAACAGTAGGTCGGCCGGGCGCCAGTGATGCACATCTGGCTCCCGGGCAACGCGAGAATCATCCCCACCACTCTCGCAGTCTCGCTCCCTCT